ATATAATGGTCCAGTCCATTCCAGTCACCAATACATCCAGGCCTGAGTTAAATGAGTCATAAAGACATAGCCCTGTTACTGTCTTCATGAGATTAAACATACTATCAGTCCCTCAAAACAAAGCCTAAAAACTTCAGGAAGCCCCATGATTGGACCTTCTAGTTACCAGAGAAAGGGGGAATGAGAGGCCAAACCTACTATCTTAAGACAGTCCTCCATCTTAAAGAAAAGAAGAAAAAAAAAGGAAAGCAATCTGTTAACTTGACCTGCAGCAGAACCCAAGCTGCACCCAGTACCAAGAAGGACCCCATGGCTTGTTCTTGGCCTGAGTTACTCCCTAGCTACTTCCTAGCAACAGTCAGTTAAAGATTATTCTGATTATCTCAAATGTACTTTCAGACCATTTGTGATTGCATAGGGTCTTGCTTCAGAACACCCACCTGTTGGCTTACAATAGGCATTCAGTAAGATGTTTGCCAAGATAGATCACACACACACACACACACACTCACACACACACTTACATCCATTTCCTATAAAAACTTGCCTGCTGAGGGTTGTGGCTGCTCTGCCTTCCCTCCCTGTCCTGCTGTGTCAGGGTTGGGTTGAGGAGAGCCGGAGCCCAAGCTTGTAATAAAGAGACCCTAACACTTTTACATTGGAAATGGCTCCTGGGTGGTCTTCCGGGGTTCACAAACACTTCCTGACACAGCACCTCAGCTGCTTTTTAATAACTCTCTGTTGGTCTCTTTTCCTGATTTCTATGCTTTGGTCATATTTACGTCCATCTATATGCATAGTTGCATATCTTACAAGGAAGAGCCTGTGGAGGCAGGGGGAACATGGGGTTTTGTCTAACTGAGTTTGGGTCATGCTTGATAACATGCTTCCCAGATTCATCCACTTTCCTGCAAATTTCATAATTATATTTTATGTATAAATAAGTAAAATTCTCTAGTATATACATACCACACTTTCATTAGCTAATCATCTGTGGATGAACACCTGGTTTGAGTCTATTTACTTCATAGTAGAGCAATAATAAACATGCCAGTGTCAGTATCTCCCTGTTAGAATACGGAGTTCTTTGGGTATATGGTTGGATATGGTATAACTGAGTCATATGGTGTATCTATTTTTAATTTTCTTAGATAGCTCTATATTGATTCCTCCTAGAGTGTACCATCTTCTCATCAGCATCTGTGATATTCATTTGACTTGTGTGAGATGAAATCTCAAAGTCATTTTAACTTAAATATCCCTGATGGCTAAGAATGTTAAATACTTGAATACTTTCTAAGATATTTACTGGAAGCCAAATATGATAACACATGCCTTTAAATGCAGCTCTTAGGAGGCAGAGGCAAACAGATCCAGCCTAGGTCCTCCTGGTCTTTTGTCTGAAGTATATTGTGTCTTCAGCAATAGGACATACAGAGCAAGTTCCACGACAGCCAGGGCTACACAGAAAAACCCTGCCCCAAACCAACCAAACAACAATAACAAAAAGATACATAATGCAACTCTGTGCTTGCTTTGCTGATAGCTGTTTATCAATTGCATTAGCCCAAATGCTAACGGAAACTATGAAAATTTGGTGAATAACTTTTGCAGCTCTTTGTAAATTCTGTATATTAGCCCTTGGTCTGAAGAACACCAGTTAAAGATTTTTCTCCCAATCTGTGGGCTATTCACTCTGAAGACAGTTTCTTTTTCTGTGTAAGTCTCTGTGTTGGTTCTGGAGGCCAGTTCCTGTGCCACCCACATTCTGTTCAGAAAGTTCTTGCCTGTACCATTCCATTTCCCTCTAGCAGTTTCAACATTTCAGGTTTTAAATTACAGAGTTTGCTCCACATTGAATTGATTTTTATGTACAAGGTAAAAGATATGGATTTAATTTCATTCTTCTACAGGTGAATATGCAATTTTGTCATACCATTTCTTAATATTAAAATTTTTATATATTTTTGCTTTTTAATAAAAAAATACATCATTTTCTGATTTCCTTTCCTCTCTTCAATAACCCCATGTACCCTGTGCCTTGTTCTCTTATAAAATCATGGCTTTTTTCTTTAACCATTACTGTTGCACACACACCTAAATATATAAATACAGCCTGTCCTTTTAGTGTTGCTTATATGTATACAAAATCGATACCAAGTAGGGGGCTCATCCCTAGGAAAGACTATTTCTCCCTGTCTCAGAATTCCTTAGTTGCCTGTAGTTCTTTGAGATTTCTTCCTTCCATGTTAGCATGTCTGCTGATGCTATACTTCTACAGGTTTTGTTTAGGCAGTCATGTGGGTGAGGTGCGGGTAAAACTTTCCTGTCCTTGATGAGAAACACATCTCACAGCAGATTTCCTAGGCCTCTGGTTCTTACAATCTTCTGCAGTGCTCCCAGAGCCTTAGGTGTGGGAGTTACATTGTAGAAGTATCAACTAAGGCTGGGTATCTCACCATCACTTCTTCTATAACAAGGTTGTGCTTTTTGATAACAATCTATCTATTGCAAAGAGAAGTGTCTTTGATGAGGAGTGAGAGCTACACTTGTCTGTGAGGATAAGGATAAATGCTGGAGTCCAGCTGAGTGGAGTCCCTGAAAGAAGACTTAGACTAAGAAGGGCAGTTCGCTCACTCTGGCTCTGAGACAGCGCAGGGCACCTTCATTTATACACCTATTTTTTCACAGCTGAAAAGGTTTTACATTCATTTTGTCATGTATAATATCTTTGAAGAACTTCCTAACTTAACAGCATGTTTTACTTTTTCCCTTCCTCCTCCCCAATCCCCACAGTTTCCTGCTAACACGTGAACTGTGTCAAGTAAGAGGAAACCACCTCAGCAAGCAGTTATCTGTAACCCAGCACATTAGCACATAACCAAGTGACCGTGGTTGGTAGCAATTACGTTTACATTATAGAGAGGTGACAGACTACGTACCCAGGAAATTCTGATTTAATTACTGGCACCTAGCATCTTCCACCATCCTGATCAGGAGATCTAATTCCTCTAATGCCCAGGACTCTCAACAAATTAGTCACCTGAGCTAGTTCCTCAGCCTTGCTTAGCTCACTTCTGAATGTTCCTATCAGGTCTTGGAACCGAAGACCACTCGAGACGTTCCTATCCTTTTGATAATCATCTTAGCTGATGTTCAGAACAGGTCGGTGGGCAGACCATTGTCAGAACCAAGTCCCCATCTGGAGAGAACATCTGGACATCAGCAGATGTGCCCAGGCCAGGCCCTCATGTTGACTCCATGAATTATCATTATTAACAGACAGAGGAGTACTAATCTGTTCCATTCCCACAATCCTCAGAGACAAACAAGAGTAAATTCTGACCCAAGCTTTCTTTTTCTGACTCTGGGGAAATGTCTATCACAGACAAAGTGAAAGTAAAAAAAGAATGTATGGTTCTGCCAAAGCAAAACCAAAAATGCAAATGCAAGGCAAAAGCATTCCCTCAAGAAAGGCCAGGAGATTCTTCATGAATATCTCCTTAGTTCCTTGCCATGTGGGACCCAACTCCTCAGGCCTTGCCATAAGGATAACCACCTGCAGTACACTCATGTGCCTTTCCCAGAAGAGGCTTGGCCACCACCAGATAAATATTAAAATACTGTTAGGAGTTACAATGTCTTAGTAATGTGGCAGTGGTAAGTCCTCATCAAAGGTCCCTGCCTCTCTGATCCTACATAGTTAATGAGCTAGAAACACATGATTTTCCTCCTGATAAGCTAGCCTTAAGTCCAATCAACTAAAGAGCTGTTGGTTACCACCAAGATATTACAACTGCACCCTTAGGGTCTTGCTTGCCATCCTAGCTGTTGTGGTTCATAGGTGTTACAGCTGGGTAGAATCATCAATAGCTTTTTTCCCTTGGAAGCTTGCGTAACAAGTTCCAGTACTATGAAAGCTATTTTTTTGTGGGGCTGCAGGGCTTTCAAGTCAGATCCAGCCTAGGTTCTCCTGGTCTTTTGTCTAATGTCTTCTGCAATAGAGCATTAACTTTTACCTCAGGGAGATTGCCAAGGACAACAGCAGTAGCCTATATTTTTTGAGTAATCTCTTGATCCTCCCTCCTCGACAGACAACTGGACAGGGTCCTTTGCACATATATCACGGCTTCTGCTTTTGTGATTTGATGTCACTGAGTATTCAAACTAATGGATCTCTGTGTTTATATTTGATTCTTGTGCCCGATCTTGGGCTCTTTTTCTTCTCTTTGTTTATTTTGTCCTATTCTGATTTGCTTGGGTTTTTATCATATCATATCATATCATATCATATCATATCATATCATATTATATTTTATATTCCCTTAGATGCCTGTTCATTTTCTAAGGAGAAACCAAGGAAATGTATCCAGAGGGGTGGAGAGTGGGGGAGTACTGGGAGGAGTAGAAGAAGAGGAAACTGTTGAGGATATATTGTATGAAAAAATATATTCTAATTTTTAAAAAGATCAATAAAAAAGTAAAAACAATAATGATAAGGGAAGAATCATAACACAAAGATTCAAAAGTTTAAACTACCTTAATTAGCATAAATAACAGACAAGCTGATAGATTGTGGTTTATTTCTCATTTGTAGCATGGTGTGTGTGAGAAGAAAAATGGGGAAAGTTTCCTGTACCTATTTGGACAATTCTGCTGGACATACAGCAGAACATAAAACAAGCCAATTGCTACCCTCTTGGTCTTAAGGAAAGAAATAGAGAAAACATAGCATATGCGTTTTCCAAGTTCTCTGCAGGACTGTTTAGTAACTGACAGCAGCCATTCCCCTTCAGGGCAGAGAAGGGAAGGAACATGAATATCAGAGAGAGATAGAGAGACTATATCTTAACACACATCTTAATATTTGAAATATGTTGCTGAATTTCATTTCAAAAAGTCTTAGGAATTAAGAAATTCGAAAGCAGCCTTGGGATTTATACAGTTGTCATAAGATCTCTGTGGCATCCATCTAGCCTGGGGTATTAAGAAACACTTACATTGACTTAAATTTGCCTGGCCACGCTCCAGAAAGGCATAGAGCTGAAGGGTGAGTTGCGGGCAGCCTTCCAGGTAGGTCTCAAACAGTCTGAGCATGCTCAAGTCGGTGGCCATATCAATTGCTTCTTTGTGAGGATCTGTTTGTTCCTCCATGAAATTCCTTGTCCTGTTGCTGTGTCTGAAAACCACATGATAACCCGTTCTCAAGACAAACCAATACCTGTAAAGTCAACATATTTCTCTTCAGTAGTATCCTTTTAGACATTAAGTTCATTTTAAATAAGTTATAAAAGATAAAATGCATATTTATGACACATGGATGTTTTGAAACATGTATATGTTCAATGTTTAAATCAGGTTAAACATGTCTATCACCTGAAATATTTATTAGTTTTTTATAGTGAAAATATGCAAAAATCCTTCTAGATTTTTGAAATATACAATAGATAACAATATTGTTAACTATAGGCATCCTAGCATGCCACAGACCTTATTACTTTATTTCTCTTACTATTATTTAGCATCTATAGATAAACTCTCTGCACTAGACAGTTTATGGTGTTTATTCGTGTATATATTGAAGTAATATACAGAATTTTTTGCACACATATTTTCCAGTACATTGCTTTATAATCACCTCAGAGACTTCACTAAGATTTGGACCTTACAAAATTTTAATGTCTGTGTGATATGTTTACTAACCAAATATAATACCTCATTTTTACAATAATCATGAGATAGGAGCTGGTTTCATTTCACAGTGGGAAAGGCTAAGGCTGCAAAGGGTAAAATGATTCACTGACATGACTGAAATAACTCTTATACAGAGAGTAGTGGGCTGGCCTACAGCCCATACCTAGACTGTGGATCTCTGTACTGGAGGCTATCTGGAGACTTCTGGCCTGGCCTGGCGGGAGGGTTCCAGTGAAGGGGAAAGGGCACAAGCAGGGAGAGGAAGTGCCTCTGCCGCCTCCATGCTGCTGCTGCTGCGGCTGCTGCTGCTGCGGCTGCTGCTGCTGCGGC